TAACCAACATAACCGGTAAATATTATATTATTTATTATAAAAAAATGATTATGTTTTTTAATATTTTTATTTTATATTTTTATATTACTTGTCTATTAATAACATTATTATGTATATAAACCAAATATATTGTGCAATCTAACAGTTATTAATGTGCAATTCATCCAACACTATAGTGCACAATGTTGGTATGCACGTAATGTACAGACCGAACCAATCGATTTTTTGTCCCCAACCAATTTGAAAATGAACATAGTCATTTGGTTCGGTTAACCAGATATCCTAAATAATCAAAATAAATTGTAATCTATATTAAAAATTGTATTCAGTATGATAATAATTTTATTTAGTATTTTTATATTATTTGTTTGTTGATAATCATAATAAAACGCAACGTTCTGTATTGTAAAGTGGAATATGTTGTTTTACAAAGTGCAACATATTGTAAACAACATATTGATATATAAAGTAAACTGTCGTAAATTTGATGTTAGCATCCGTGTGATTTGTGTCGATTAATTATGTCATTGACGTTTAAGTGTAATGTGTATCCGTTTTTTTATATCCATGTTGTCTGGTATTTTGGCTGGAGGTTGAAGTTAAACGTAGAGCGTGGCGATAAAGTGCAATGTTCTGTATTTTAAAGTGCAATGAGTTGTTTCATAAAGTACAACATATTGATGTATAAAGTAAACTATTGTAATTTTGATTTTAGCATTCTTGTGTCTTGTGTTGATAAATTATGTTATTGATGTTAAATTATAATGTATATCCGTTTTTTATATTAATGTTGTGTGGTAATTAAGCCGGAGCTGTTGAAGTTAAATGTAGAGCGTGACGATAAAGTGCAATGTGAGATATACAAAATGCAACGTGTTGTTTTATAAAGTGCAATGTATTTATATATAAAGTGCACTACTTTATATGATCATATATAAATTAAGTGTTTTTGAAACCATATTTAATAGATATAATTGTATAGTAGGAAATAACCTAAATAATTTTAATAGTTTATTATTTATTATTATAATAGTGTATTTATTATTTTAATATTATATATATATATTAAAATTCTACATATTAAAATTTTTAAATATTGTACACTTTATTTATCATTAATATGCATTTATGATAATATTGTTATAAATTACATATTTTGTCATGAATTAAATTAAAAAGTTCTCAAAATTATAAAATTTTAGAATTGTCCCTCAACACTATATTTTTTTTTTGGTATAAAAAAAGCAATTAAAACTGTGAAAATTGCAAAACAGTCCTTGTAACCTATCAAATTTTAAAAGCTTGGTCCTCAGCCCCAAACTCGTTTTTTTTTTTTTTTTTTTTTCAGTTGTTTTCCGCCGGCGGCCGACCTTCGCCCTCACGCACCACCCCAAGCATATATAATCTCGTCGGTGACCTCTCTTGGCCCGTCAAACCACCGGAACACATTTTTTTTACCTGCGTACGCCCAGCAGCGGCGGAGCCGCGATTCCGATGGCGGACGACGGAGGCCGGCATGTGGGATGGTGGTGCTGCGTTCGTCCTGCTCGTGTGTGTCTATATGTGTTATGTGTGTGCTTTGTGAGTTCCGGCGGCGGCGAGCGAGTGAGTGAGCTCCGACGACGACATTTCAACAGCTTCGACACCTGCATGACATTGAGCTCCGGCAAGCGGCGGTGGTGTGATGCGGGAAACAATGGCTGGGCATGGGTTGATGGCCGATGATGGTACCTGTACGTAATGTGTGTGAGTTGGAGTGTGTGAAATGTGTGTGAGAGGGGGGAGGTGTGAGAACGTGAAATGTGCAGGCGTGTGTGTGCGTGTGTTTTGTGTGTGTGGAGAGGTGACATGGCGCGTGTGTGTGGGAGAGTTAAAGAGTGAATGGGCGAGAGGGTGTGATGTGGCACAGTGGGTGGGTTTGGAAATTACCTTATTATCTTTAATGAATGTATAATTTTGGTTTTTTTAGCCATTAGATCATTCGACCTAATGACCACGATTTATTCTCATTTCCTTCATCGAGAACCATTTTCATGTGTGTATATATATATATATATATATAGTGATTGGATCCAATGAGTCCACATATTTAACGTGTGAATGTGAGACCATTCCTAGCCATTAAATTGGTACATTATGTGTGGCTAAGATTAACTCTTCAATTAAATAATAATTCTTTATTTGTATTATTTATTTCTTTATTTTACTATTTTAATTATTTAAATATTATTTTGACAATTGACCATTGACTTCGGCGTTGACCGTTGACTCCGACGTTGACCGTTGACTTCCGACGTTGACTTCCGGCGAAAATCGTTGACTTCTAGTGTTGACCGTTGACTTCCGGCGTTGACCGTTGACTTCCGGCGTAGACTTTCAACATTGACCGTTGACCCTTAGCATGCATTGTGTATTAAGTAAATATGCATCAGTACTATGCACTTAGTATGGACTAAATATGCATCATAAATGAATTATATATGTTATCCTTATGAAATAAATATGCACCAGTAATATCAACTATGTATGCACTGTTTATGTACTAAATATACACATTTTACTAACTAAATATGCATCAGAAATGAACTAAATATACAACGAAAATATGCAATAAAATATACATTTTATACAATTAAATTAAATATAATAATTAATGATTTTTATTATATAATTAATTTTAATTTTAAATTGATTAATAACACAAATAAATTGTTATGATTGGATCTCAAATAAAATAGGTATGCACTTAATATGAACTAACTATGCATCATAATTGAATTATATATGTTTTCCTTATGAACTAAATATGCACCAGTAATATCAACTATGTATGCACTGTTTATGTACTGAATATGCACATTTTTACTAACTAAATATGCATCAGAAATGAACTAAATATGCAATGAAAATATGCAATAGAATATACATTTCATACAATTAAATTGAATATAATAATTAATGATTTTTATTATATAATTAATTTTAATTTTAAATTGATTAATAACACAAATAAATTGTTATGATTAGATCTCAAATAAAATAGGTATGCACTGTTC